TAAAGTGATTTCCTCCTTTCTGCTGCATAAATTTGAAAGCTGATTTCAACTTCTGAAGCCATCCTTAAGAAAAAATTGGTTTCCTGCTGAATTATTTTAAAATATTAAATTTAAATTAATTTGGTTTTGCTCTGAATTGATAGTATACACTTAAGTGGCAACTGTACACACATTCATTAAAAATTTCAAGTAATTGCATATCTTTAAGGGAACCCCACTAAAGAGTAGAAGCTAAACATGATGCAACCAAAATAAAACAGCACAAATTCTCCTAAAAATGAACTGCAATGTTCATTTTATTATCCTTAAAATATAAAATATTAGTCTTGTTATGTGCCTTGTAGCTCAAAAGTTGGAACTGTGATATATTACAAGTAAAAATTATTCAGATGAGAACTAGAAAACTAGTTAAAAACTCTGATTCTTTCATTATTTTTCCCAAACCTCATCTACGTGAGAAGAAAAACTAGTTGAAAACTTAAAGGAGAGAGGAAAAAAATGAGTTAGAGTGCTTCAGATTCAGCAGAACATGAAAGATTGAAATAATGACAAATAAGAACAGTATTACAGGTAGGATTATGTTTATTATTTTTTCCTATATATCCTATAATATACAGCCCTGTAGTTTTGACATGGTAAATGTTTTATTCAGCAGAACATGAAAGATTGAAATAATGACAAATAAGAACAGTATTACAGGTAGGATTATAATTATTATTTTTTCCTATATATCCTATAATATACAGCCCTGTAGTTTTGACATGGTAAATGTTTTAAAAAAAAAGTGATTTGAAATTTCTGGGTTTATATAAGGCCTCATGAATACAAAGAACTATGAGAAGGTGTAAGATAGGGTGGTAAAAAATGGATGAAGTTGGATGGAAAACCCATATTCTTAAAGCACTAGAAAGGCTAGTAATTTTCAGAAAATATGTTGTTGACCTATAGAAGTTCGGGAAATGAGGTGATGGTTGATAGGGAGATAGAGGGATAGGGGTTGGGAAAAAGATATATGAGAAATTGGGAGTGGGAATGTGGGGGGCAAGTAATATGAGAAGAGTATTTTCTATGGAGCAGATTCTTCAAATTTAATGCCTAACATATTGAGAAGAACTATATTCAGCTTGGTTAATTCATGGTTATAGCTTCCTAATTAGCATTCCCTGAGAGTAACTGGCAGATTGGTTTGTTACTATAAAACAGGAATGATGGTAGCCAAAAATCAGGATTAAAAATTTATTGTAAACATCAAATATGAACTATCTTTCACTTCCAAATAATGTAGAATGAACTATACCATATAGCAGTAATACTGAGGAAAGGCAGGTGAGTGCTGAGGTACATGAAGATCAGGGGAAGGATTTACTATGACAGGAACTCAATACCGTAAGGGTATGAAACAGATTACCATCAGTTTCATTTCAAACAGTCATCGGCAAGTTAATAAAAAGTGTGTGTCTGTTCACCTTGTTATACAATATTAATATCAGCAAATTAAAAATTTGTGCATATAGCCAAGACATGAAACCAACCTAAATATCCATCAATGGATGATTGGATAAGGAAACTGTGCTATATATGCAACATGGAATACTACTTTGCCATAAAAAAGAATGAAATACTCCTATTTGCAACAACATGGATGAGCCTGGAGAAACCCATCTTGAGTGAAATAAGCAAAGCACAGAAGGATAAATACGGCATGTACTCACTCATAAGTGGGAGCTAAGAGAGAAAGGAAGGAAGGAAAGAAAGAGCACAGTGGTGTGTTGGACTTGCAGAGGGAGAGAACACACTTTGGGATACAAAGTGGAGTGGGGGGGGAAGGGGGAAGGGGAGGGAGGTTGGGGATAATTGGGTGGGGGAAATGGGGTACAAATGCAATTTGTGGTTATGGTCATGCTGCCCGTATGGATCTGGCCTTCACATCTTGGGCAGGAGGGGTGACAATCAGCTTTGTATCTCATGAATATTCATAACCAATAAAAAAATAGTGCATATTTTGTTAAATTTATTCCTAAGTATTTCATCTTTATACTATTGTAAATAGTATTTTTAAAATTTTATTTTCCCAATATCCATTGCTAGTATATAGGAATATAATGCATTTTTGTATATTTTCCTTGTATCCTGTGACCTTGCTCAATTCAGAACTAAAATTATTAGTTCTAGCACATTTTTTGTAGATTTCTTAAGATTTTCTATACACACAAATCACATAATCATGTCATCTATAAATAACATGTATGCCATTTATTACTTTTTCTTGCTTTATTGCACTAGCCAGTACCTCCAGCATAATGTGAGTAGTGAATATCTTTGCCTTTATCCCAATTACAGGAAGAAAGCTTTAGTTTTTCACCAATTAAATATAAAGTTAGCTTTAGGTTTTCCATAGATGCTTTCTATTATTCTTTGCTTATGTAACATTTTATCATGAATGGGTGCTGAATTTTGTCAAAAGTTTTTTTTTTTTTTTTTTGCAGCAATGTAGAGGACCATATGGTTTTTCCTTTATTCTATAAATGGAGTGAATTACATTATTTGAATTTCAAATGTTAAATTAACCTTGTAAACCTAGGATAAAACACACTTTGTTATGACATATTATCTTTTTTATATATTAATGGATGTGATCTGTTAATACTTGTTAAAAATTTCTGCATCTACTGAACGTAATCTTTTTGCATTATGCATGTCTGCTGATGAAAAATGCTTTCAGCTTTTGTTTTTCTGAAAATGTCTTTATTTTGCCTTTACTTTTGAAGAGTATTTGGCAAATATTCCATACTGAATTTTTTTTTCTTTCACCACTTTAAAAAAGCAAACATTTCATTGCATTGTGGTTTCTATTTATTTCTTATTAGAAGTCAGTAGTCATTTTTATCATTCTTACCTTATATGTAACATGACTTTTTTCCCTCTGTTAGTTTTAAAGAGTTTCTTTTGGTTTTCAGCAATTTGATTATGATGTGCCATGTTGTGGTTTTCTGTTTGTTGTGCTTCAGGTTCTTTAAACTTCCTAAATTAGTGACTTTATCCTTCTCATCAAATTTGGGAATTTTCCCACCATTATCTCTTCAAATATTGTTCTGTCCCATTTTTTCTTCTCTTCTTTGAGACTCCAATTGCTTGAATGTAAAACTGCTTTTTAGAGTTGCTATTTCTGTGCTGAGAATTCCTAATTATTCCTTTATTATATTCATTTTTTTTCCCTGTAAATGCTTGAATATAAATATGGCAACTGTTTTATAGTCCTTGTCTGCTAATTCCATCATCTGTCACTTTTTAGTCTATTTCCATTGACTAATTTTCCTGCTTCTTTGTATGCCTAGTAATTGTCTATTGAATGATTGACATAATAAATTCTATATTGTTGAGTGTTTGGATTTTGCCATCTTCCTCAGTTGAGTGTTAAGTTTTGTCCCGGTAAGCAGTCAATTACTTTTGAATCACCTTGACCTTTTCAAGGCATTCCTCCCTGTCTCCCCAGACATCCATTCTTTATCATTTTTAAAGATATTTTGTATAATAAAGAACTTCCAAAATAATGTCCAATAGCAAGCATCCTGGTTTTTTCAACAAGGCTTATTTTAAAAAATTTTAAGGGTGTGTATAAAGTAGCCTTTACTTCAGGGATAGATTAGTCCTACTTCTAAAGAAAAAACTTTATAGGATATCTTCTGAAAACTGGGGGGCTTAATAAAGGCTTCCAGGGCCGGCCCGGTGGCGCACTGCTACAGTGCGCCGCTTGGGAAGCGCGGCGGTGCTCCCGCCCGAGGGTTCGGATCCCACATACAGACCGGTTCCCGCTCACTGGCTGAGCGAGGCGCGGGAGCAACGCCGAGGGTTGCAATCCCGTTGCCAGTCCCCGGTCCGGTACGGGGGCAACACTGAGGGTTGCGATCTGTTGCCGGACACGGAAAAAGACAAAAAAAATAAATAAATAAAAAAAATAAAGGCTTCCAACCATGTAGAAGCTCTGGCAGTTGTTCAGCTCACAGATTGCTGGTAGTTGTTCTTTTCCTCATGTTTGTGAATTTTTTCCAGTTTTATACTTCTTTACTGTGATAGGGCTAATAAGAAACTCTTATTCTGTCACAGACAGAGGTATAAATCCCAAGAGGGAGTTTTTGACCACATCTTAGCTTTCCTTTGACCTATTAACTCTGCCCTCTGTTCTTCTACAATTCTCGCTCAAGAACTCATAATCATTTAGTGAAAGGACCCAAACCAGAAACTAATTCTTGTAACTCAATCCAATGCTCTTTTTACTATACAGTATTGTTTATCTCCTGGGACTGAAACAATAACAATCTAAACTACTTTTAAGTTGTTCACTATTTGATATATTTCTCAATTTCTCTCTCTCCCTCTTGTTTTTTGTTTATTATTTTGTTTTTGGTGGCTTGGTTGCTTATATTTTATTTTTAAAAATTTGAAACAGGTTCACTGATAAAGTTAAAAATGATCCATATTAAGAAAAATCTATTTGATTACAAGTATCCCTGAGAATCAGCATTCTGACCACACAAAACTAAATAATCCACAAAGTGTTTTTAAGGGAGACAAAACAACAACTAAAAATACACTTCTTCCATACTTCTGAGTTCCTCCTATCATACCTGAGATCCACATAGTTTATTATTTCTCCTTGTAAGCTATTTTAGCTTCTCATTAGAGAAATGAGCTTAGACTCTACATATTTTTCTTCTAACTTAAGAGTCTTTATGCTGATGAGATCTGTTCCTAGAATATAATGTTCATCACTCTCTGTCCACAAAATATCTATTAATTCATGTTTATAAAGCATTAGTCACTTCAAAAATAAATTTTGCATGGTTTTATTACCTTTTAAGGCAAGGAGAGATAAGAGCAGGAGGAACAGAAATGAAACTGGTTTACAAAATGGGCCTTTAAAAAAGTATTTTTAAATTATACTAGGAGAAAAATAAATGATTAAATCAAATTTTAAGAGGTTGTAGGTCTAATACTTTTACCTGTGTAGCTGGATATACTCTCGGGGTCTGTTGAGCAGGTGAAGGAATCTGTCAACAATCTTGTTTTTTCCTACACCCTGTAATTACACAGATAGCATTAAACAAAAAGAGGCTTTTGTTTGAAGCTAAGTTTATGCCAAACCAGAAGAATTTTTACCAAAATCTACTTTCTCAAAGTTGTAATGTTTTATTGTTAATGAAATCCAATCTGGCAAACATATACAGTCTATCACCTATGACATAAATTTTTTTTTCCTTTTTGTCTTTTTTCGTGACCGGTAACGGGATCACAACCCTCAGTGTCGCGCCCGCACCGCGCTCAACCAGTGAGCAGACCGGTCTCTATATGGGATCCGAACCCTCGGCGGGGGCGCCGCTGTACTCCCAAGCGCCGTACTCTACCGAGTGCGCCACCGGGCCGGCCCGACATAAATTTTCTTTAAAAAATTTACTTCTAAACATAATAGTTCTAAGCTATTCTTATTTAAAAGGAAATCCATAAATTAGCCTCCTATATCTTGATTTTTCTGTTGTATAATTTTACACTGAAGCCTAGATATTACAGCAGAATATTAACTATTTCAGATTTGAAGAACGGCATCAAAGGTGATCAAGTAAGTATACAATCAATCATTTTTCTAATCAGTTTTTCAGAAGTATGATTTTCAGTTACAACAAGATAGTTTTTTCTGCTTTAATCAAACATTCATTTCTTCTTTTATCCCACTTTTCAGTCTTTGAAAACCCTGAAAACCTAAAATTATAACCAAGGTGTATTAAGAAAATTCAACTGTATGTGCCTTTCCTGGAAATGCCCTCATAATAAGCAGACATTATTATTGTTATTACTGATACCAAGAGTTGTTGTCTTTTTGCAGAAGACAGACTTAAAAATGGAACCCACCCTCATGCTATTTCCCTAGTGTAAAGTTTTCACTTAGAGATAGAATATAATTAACGGGAGTAGGAGGGTTAAATCTTTTAACCAGTAGGTTGTGTGAGAGGAGAAGTGGTTAAAAAACTGAGTTCTATATTATACACGATAGCAACAATAACATTAATTTCTTATACTGTGCCAGGCTCTATGCTGAGCCCGTGGAGGGCTCCTCAAGCCTGTTCCCCAAGACCATTCTGTCTCCCAAGGTCTTTGGGCCTGAAATGGAAGAGTTGGCCCCAGAGCCTTCTGCAATGCCTTCAGGGCCTTTTTCTCCTTCTCTCGATAATCCCTTTCCTTTGTACTAACCTTCTTAGCACCATTGGATTTTAACTCTGAAAATGCTCTCTGCTTCTCTACCACATGGCCAGGCTACAAATTTTCCAAATCTTTATGCTCTACTTCCCTTTTATTTATTTATTTATTTATTTATTTATTTATTTATTTATTTATTTTTTCCCTTTTTGTCTTTTTTACTGACCGGTAACGGGATCGCAACCCTCGGTGTCGCGCCCGTACTGGGGACCGGCAACGGGATCGTAACCCTCCGTGTTGCGCCTGCACCGCGCTCAGCCAGTGAGCGGGAACCGGTCTCCACATGGGATCCGAACCCTCGGCGGGAGTGCCACCGTGCTCCCAAGCGGCACACTCTCCAGTGTGCCACCGGGCCGGCCCTCTATGCTAAGTATTTTAATATATTATTTCATTTAATAATTACAACAGTCCCGTGAAGTATTATAATTATTGCAACTTCACAAATCAAGAAACCAAGGCTCAGAGAAGTTAAGCAACGTGTACATATGTCACATGTCATAGTGGAAACAGGACTCAAATCCATATCTGTATGATTCTGATATTCATGCTTTTAGCCCCTACATTATGAATTATATTTCTTTCAATTTGAAATTAATTCAAGTAATGTGAGCCTTAAATGACTTTTTTCTCCACTTCCAGGTTCCTTTCTAAAAAAAAATTAGGCATCAGGGCAATGCATGCTGCATGACAGCAATAACAGAAGCCCAAGAGGGAAGCAGACATTATTATTGGTATTTTTACTATATACTCAAATATCTTGTGGAAAAAAGCATTTTACAAGGACAGAAATTCAAATCAATTAAGTGGGTATTTATTGAGTGCCACGGGGGGCAGGGACCATGCCTATTTTGCTTATCACTATATCCCTCAAGCCCAGCACAGGACCTGACACAAAGAATGCATTCAATAAATATTAGTCAAATGAATGAATGAATACAGGGAGCTTGGAAATGACTGGAAAGGAGGTGCAAATTCTGGTAAAACATAAATGGTGACTGTGCTAATAAGGATACTGAATAAAGGAATCTTTGACGAGTTACAGACTTATAAAAGCTGGACAAGTTTTACAAATGATCCAATTTATTTCACCCACAAAAAATTCAAGGTTATGAGAGCTGAATGTCAAACTGACGAATCCACTAAAATAAGAAAAATGGATCATTTCATCTTCTAGGAATCTTTTTAGTATCTATTTCACTCAAAATAGTTTCAAGCCTAGCACAGAAGCACAAAGTAAGAAAATCACATTTGCACATTGGCATGTAAATCACAACAGGTATGTAAACTTTAAATGTCATGCTGAAATAAACATAAAACTTTAGATAAATTCAGATAAGTATAAAATATGTATTAATATTTCAGCTCTGTTAAATTCAGTAATCCTAGAGAAAAGCAAATATCATAAATGAATTATAATGACAGAAATACAAAGAATTTCCTGAAAGAAATAAGTCATGAAAAGCTACTATCAGGGACTTCCTCCTCCCTCCCACCTCCAAAGTTATTGAATTAGCCATGCTTTTTCAAATTCCTCCTGAGCAATGCACTATTTAGGACTTTACAAGCCTCATAAATGTAGGGGTAGATGTGGAATCCCAGCTGCCACAAACGAACTCTTTTGCTGTCTCTTTAAACGTTAAGGTCTCCAGAACTCTAACCTCAGCTGTCTTCTTGCTCCTTATGCTCTCTCTGGGAAATCTCACCCACTCCCATGACCTCGGTCAGCACACTTCTTTCCTAAGCTCCATTTGAGATCCTCTATTCCTGTCAACTGAACTTCTGCACCAGATGTTCATACTGAACTCATTATGCTCCTGCCCAAACCTGCTCTTCTTTCTTTTAAACTCCAGTACAACAATATTGCCATGTACCAGCTACTCAATGAAAGAATCTTTGAATATTTTTGACTGCTTCATTTTTTCCCCTGACCTCATTCAAAATGTCACTAGGATCTCTGCAGTCTCTATCTACAAAACTTTTACTTTTATTTTTCTTTTCCTTTCTTCCTTTTCCTTCTTTCCTTCCTTCTCTCTTTCCTCCCTTCTTCCCTCCCTCCCTTCTTTCCTTGTCTAATTCATCAACCACTTGAGCACCTAATATTTATAGTACTGTACTAGCTGAGCTGGATATAATAGTAAACAAAATAGGTACAGCCCCTGGACACATTCACACCTTGCAGACTAGTAGGGAAAACAGACAACTAAGCAAATATAAGAGATACATTTGATGAGTGTCATCATATGGGTTGCTTGAAGATTTAACATAAGAGAAGGCCTAACACACAGAAAAACCTAAAGACTCTACCAAAAATCTTAGAGCTGATAAACAATTTTAGTAAAGTTGCAGGATACAAAATCAACACTCAAAATCAGTAGCATTTTTATACTCCAATAACAAACTAGCAAAAAAGAAATCAAGGAAGCAAGTCATTTACATAGTCACCAAAAGATAAAATACCTAGGAATAAATTTAACCAAGGAGGTAAAAGATCTCTACAATGAGAACTACAAATCACTGCTGAAAGAAATTAAAGAGGACACAGAAAGAAGGAAAGACATTCCATGTTCTTGGATTGGAAGAATAAACATTTTGAAAATGTCCATACTACCCAAAGTGATCTACATATTTAATGCAATCCCCCATCAAAATATGACTGACATTCTTCACAGAAATAGAAAAAACAATCCTAACATTCATATGGAACAACAAAAGACCCCAAATAGTCAAAGCAATCCTACATAAAAATAGATAAATAAATAAAGCCAGAGGCGTAACACTACCTGACTTCAAATTATACTACAAAGCTACATAGTAACCAAAACAGCATAGTATTGGCATAAAAACAGGCACTTGGACCAATGGAACAGAATAGAGAATCCAGAAATCAACCTACATATTTATAGTCAACTGATCTTCAATAAAGGCAACAATTACATTGGGAAAAGATTGCCTCTTCGATAAATGGTGCTGGGAAAACTGGACGTCCATATGTAGGAGAGTGAAACTAGACCCATACCTCATACCATATACCAAAATCAACTCAAAATGGATTAAAGACTTATCTATAAGACCTGAAAATATAAGATTACTAAAAGAAAACATAGGGGAAACACTTTAGGAAGTAGGACTGAGCAAAGACTTCATGAATAAGATTCCTAAAGCACAGGCAACAAAAGAAATAATAAACAAATGGGATTATATCAAACTAAAAAGCTTCTGCACAGCAAAAGAAACAATTAACAGAGCAAAAAGACAACCTACAGAGTGGGAGAAAATATTTGCAGACTATGCATCTAACCAGGGATTAATATCCAGAATACACAAGGAACTAAAACAACTTAACAATAAAAAAAACAAGCAACCCAATTAAAAAATGGGCAAAGGAGCTAAATAGGCATTTCTCAAAGGAAGATATACAAATAGCTAACAGACATATGAAAAAAAAAATGCTTACCATCACTAAGCATCAGGGAAATGCAACTCAAAACCACATTGAGATATCACCTTATGCCAGTTAGACTGACCATTATCAAGAAGAGAAGAACAAATGCTGGTGAGGATACAGAGAAAGGGGAACCCTCCTACACTGTTGGTGGGCCTATAAATTAGTGCAATCTTCTCAAACAACTACAGATAGCACTGCCATATAATCCAGCAATCCCACTGCTTAGCGTATACCCAAAGGAATGGAATCATCATGTTGAAGGGATAACTGCACTCCCATGTTTAACACAGCTCTGTTAACAATAGCTAAGAGTTAGAACCAACCATCAACAGATGAACAGTCCATCAACGGATGACTGGATAAGGAAATACACAATGGAATTC